TCTCCAGTGGCAATCCATTGCCGAGCTCAAGGTGGCCATGGTTCAGTGGTGGGTTGCTCTGGGTTCTGTCCGGTTTTTTAGAATCGGTAGTAAAAGCAGGGGGAGGCTCCGCTCTCCCACGTGGATGTCATAATTGATGATCTGCGCATGCACAGAAGCGCGTGCGCTCCCATTGTGAACTGGTAGTACAGTTAAGGAGAATCCACCCGTCAATAGATAGGATAAGGATAAATTGAGCCATTAAAGTAGGATCCCACTGCCAGCCATATATTCCTGAATAACATCTCTCATTCCAAAAAGATGGGATACCCTTTTGTTTATTACACAAGAATGATCTCTTTGAGCTGTTTCTTTACGACTTTCTTCTTGTCTATGCAATGTTGGCAGGTACAACAGATGCTTCTCTCATTATTTTTTTCTTCATCATTTTTTTTAATTTACCTCCTGCACTTGTTCACTGGTCAGGAGTTCTGACAGGATAGGCAGTATTTGTGCTTATTTGTCAATTTGATATGGCTGCCCATCTCACACAGAGAGACTCTGGATAGCATGTAGCAGAACTATCTGATTCTTTCCCAGTTTCTTTTATGTCATGGATAGTAAGGAGTCTTTGGTGGACACTGACTCTGAGGATTGGGTACCTACCCTGACCTGACATTGTGCATATTGGGACTGGAGGTCCTTTATAGCCAGTTGCTTTCTCCAAATAAGGCTAGTGTGTTTGTGTGCATTTGCATGTGTGTGTCTGTAGATCCTAGAGATAGGGGAGTTATATGCAAATGAATAATGCTGACTGATATTTTGATATTCCTACAACAAGAATTAGTTTAAAACTGAGTAGGTTTGAATTAGTATAATTTTTACCTCCTCCCTTCCAGGTTAGATCTCTGTGTCAATTAGCTCTCTTTTTTGTATACTCATGACACACTTGTATCTCTCCCCAATTAAGCATGCATGGGAAAATATCAGACATTTGCAACTAGGACGTACTATTGTTGGCAGAGCTTTGTGAGGCACAGACAAATTCTTGTATTTCTACAAGGAAAGAAACTAATTGTATAGATGCAAAGAGATGTGCAATTAGAACAGATAGACGCAGCAGTGAGATCTGATGTAACCCTGATATATTGACAGATCCTTTTAGAATATTGTTTCTGGATACCTGTCTACTGTATTCAGACAGATTCTTTGACAAGAGAATCTATGGTTAGCTATCAATCAGATTTTAGAAATAGCACCAGCTTCTGAGTATAACACAATCACCTATAATTTACAGTCAGGTCCAGAAATATTGGGACATCGACACAATTCTAACATCTTTGGCTCTATACACCACCACAATGGAGTTGGAATGAAACAAACACAATGTGCGTTAACTGCAGACTGTCAGCTTTAATTTGAGGGTATGTACATCCAACTCAGGTGAACGGTGTAGGACTTACAGCAGTTTGTATATGTGCCTCCCACTTGTTAAGGGACCAAAAGTAATGGGACAATTGGCTTCTCAGCTGTTCCATGGCCAGGTGTGTGATATTCCCTCATTACCCCAGTTACAATGTGCAGATAAAAGGCCCAGAGTTCATTTCAAGTGTGCTATTTGCATTTGGAATCTGTTGCTGTCAACTCTCAAGATGAGATCCAAAGAGCTGTCACTATCAGTGAAGCAAGCCATCATTAGGCTGAAGAAACAAAACAAACCCATCAGAGAGATAGCAAGAACATTAGGCATGGCCAAAACAACTATTTGAAACATTCTCAAAAAGAAGGAATGCACCGGTGAGCTCAGCAACACCAAAAGACCTGGGAGACCACGGAAAACAAGTGTGGTGGATGACCGAAGAATTCTTTCCCTGGTGAAGAAAACACCCTTCACAACAGTTGGCCAGATCAAGAACACTCTCCAGGAGGTAAGTGTATGTGTGTCAAAGTCAACAATCAAGAGAAGACTTCACCAGAATGAATACAGAGGGTTCACCACAAGATGTAAACCATTGGTGAGCTTCAAAAACAGGAAGGCCAGATTAGAGTTTGCCAAACAACATCTAACAAAGCCTTCACAGTTCTGGAACAAGATCCTATGGACAGATGAGACCAAGATCAACTTGTACCAGAGTGATGGGAAGAGAAGAGTATGGAGAAGGAAAGGAATTGCTCATGATCCTAAGCATACCACCTCATCAGTGAAGCATGGTGGTGGTAGTGTCATGGCTTGGACATGTATGGCTGCCAATGGAACTGGTTCTCTTGTATTTATTGATGATGTGACTGCTTACAAAAGCAGCAGGATGAATTCTGAAGTGTTTTGGGCAATATTATCTGCTCACATTCAGCCAAATGCTGCAGAACTCATTGGACGGCGCTTCACAGTGCAGATGGACAATGACCCAAAGCATACTGCAAAAGCAACCAAAGAGTTTTTGAACGGACAGAAGTGGAATGTTATGCAATGGCCAAGTCAATCACCTGACCTGAATCCCATTGAGCATGCATTTCACTTGCTGAAGACAAAACTGAAGGGAAAATGCCCCAAGAACAAGCAGGAACTGAAGACAGTTGCAGTAGAGGCCTGGCAGAGCATCACCAGGGATGAAACCCAGCATCTGGTGATGTCTATGTGTTCCAGACTTCAGGCTGTGATTGACTGCAAAGGATTTGCAACCAAGTATTAAGAAGGGAAAGTTTTATTTATGATTATTATTCTGTCCCATTACTTTTGGTCCCTTAACAAGTGGGAGGCACATATGCAAATTGCTGTAAGTCCTACACCGTTCACCTGAGTTGGATGTACATACCCTCAAATTAAAGCTGACAGTCTGCAGTTAACCCACATTGTATTTGTTTCATTCCAACTCCATTGTGGTGGTGTATAGAGCCAAAGATGTTAAAATTGTGTCGATGTCCCAATATTTCTGGACCTGACTGTAATTCACACAATGTACTAAAGCTTAATGTGGCTTGTTTTTTTGCTCAGAGTGGCTGAGCAAAAGTATGGCTTATTTAACAAGTTAAAGTTAGATAAATCATGGATTAGGAAGATACTTAAATCTGGTCTATCTTCCAATTGCTTTTGCAGCAAATTAATAGGAAATGTGTATTATTAAGTGCTTTAACTGAAAAAAAAGCTATATACAAATAACCAAGATGGAAGCATTACTCTGCATTACTTCTCTCAAAAAACAGGTCCCCCTCTTCCTTTAAACAGGTTGGGAAAGCATCCTATGAAGAAAATCAAATAATATTATATACATGAAAAAGAAATGGAAGATAGCAGTCTTATTTCTTTTTGCCTCTTTACTCAATTAAAAAAACCCCACCTGAATATTCCTGCTGCAATGCTGAAACAGGAATGCTTGGAAACACTTACCAAAACCAATCATTTTAACTGCACCTGCCTATAGGCATGGAGATTCAGTGCCCAGATATCAGTGGAACTACATATACGACTGAAGATGTTCTTGAGAGCTGCAATCAGCTGTTGCAGTCAAAGATGGGGCAAAGAATTGGTTTTCACTAGAAACGCAAACATATCCTTTAGATGTGCATCAAGGTTTCATAACTGAATGCAAGGATGTTTTTATGTTCCTCTACAAAATTGCCCATGTATTTATTATATCTGTTGAAAAAGACAAAAATGCAGATGCTCAGCTGCAAACCACAAACCTCATGTCCATAACAAGGAAGCATCAAGGGAGGAACTGAAATTCTATCACAAAACAGAAGCAAGTAGCAAAAGGAAGTCAAGCCAACAAGATTTTAAAGAATGCTCCCCTTTTGCACCTCACTGAAAATTCACTGTAACATATAATTTCCAGAATGGGGAGAAACAACTAATTTTGTCTTTATCATTTTACTTCCAGGAAAGATCGAACACTTTTGCATGAAGCTCCTGGAAAGATTTATCTCTTAACCTATGGGTCAACTTAAAGAGAGTTAATTTTCTAATGTAATAAACACAGTTTCAGAGACTTCTCTTTCCTACATGGCATCCATGGTGCTGATGGCCGGATGCATCTGATACCATTTTAGAATTCCAAATGAATGGAAGGAATCTAATTCATCTTCTGTGATTGCACATCTGATGATCCACTACTTTTTCAATGGTTCGTTGCTCAGTGCAAACTCTTACTATTGAAGTACCCCAAAGAGATCTTTGCCACACATATCATACTATTAACCCTGCCTTTTCCCAAACCCTTAGAAAACTGCACATTCTTTCCACCTGCTTCCATCTTCCTTCTTTTATCCTGCTGGCTCCCTTTTCCATCTTTCTATGAATAACTGGAGGAATGGAGTTAAAGAACAGGAAAGCATTCCAAGAATGAGTTAACAAAATACAAATAATTCCTTGGCTGAAAATCACTTGTTTAGTGACCATTTGAAGTTACGGCATTGAAAAAAGGGCCATGACCATTTGTCACATGACCATTGCAGCATCCCCATGGTCATGATTCAGGCACTTGGCAACTGGAATGTATTTATGACAGTTGCTCTGTCCCTGGGTCATATGATTGCCATTTATAACCTTCCCAGCTGGCTTCTGATGAGCAAAGTCAATGGGGGGGTGGGGGGCGGTGAGGTGGAAGCCAGATTCACTTAACAACTGCAGTGGTTCATTTAATAACGCTGCCATAGGTCATAAAATGGGACACAAGTCACTTAACTGCTGGGCTTAGCAATGAAACTTTTGGGTTCCATTGTCATAAGTTGAGGACTACCAGTAATCAATGGAACCTGAAGAAATATAGAGGTATGTTGGTTGTGGCTTTTGCTGCCGGGGCTCCAGGCTTTCCATTCTTTTTATTGCTTCCCCTTCCCACTGGCCTTAATCTTAATCTAGCCAAAATGTTCCCAGATTAGATTACAGACAGAAGTGGCAAGATAGCCTTTACCCTCAAGTTTACAATCTAGAAGTGACAATGGTGGAAATTGATGAGGGAAGCTCTTCTTCCAGTTGTCGTCTTCTAACAAATTAGTAGAGCAAATATTTCAGGTTAGCCTCATAAAGTGGCTGTTCTGTCAGAACAGACAATGATATTTATTAGCACACAAACTCATTTACACATTCATTTATTTGGCTGCATATGCCACTTCAATCCAAAGAGAATTTTGAGTACTGTATTTCACGTTTCTGTTTTCAGTAAGATTAAAAGAACTAGATGTCATTTCTAAAATACAATAGTGAAGAAAATTACAAATAAATTAAGGCTATAAAGGCCATAATAAAATATTATTATGAAACTAAATTTCTTCCTCCAACTCTCAACTAACATTCCTTGGTTATACTTTCATCTTCATTTCTTTAGCTTTAGATTGCAATCCTAAAATCACTTACCTGGGGAAAATTTCCATGGAACTCAGCGGGATTCACTTTTGAGCAGACAAGGACATGATAAGGACAAGTCTTTTCAGGCTTTTAACTGACTACAGTGGATTTTCCTTTTGTAGGGGAAAAATAAAATATTCTAATGGGGAACAAGTACGCTATGAATCCAACAACTAAAAGCCCAAATCTGAATTGAAATCGACAGTTCTGTCTTCACATTTTCCATTTATGCATGAGTTCTCTGCCTCATATATGTCAAACTCTAAAAAAACTACTGTGCTAGCTGAGTGTTTGCAGAATATTGCAGAACAAAAAGTCTCATGAAAGCTATTTGCCCTGGCAACAATTCATTTTTGCTAGCCTGAACCAATCCTGTGTGCCCCTGTTGCAGTATCAGATTTTCTCAGATGTTAACAGTCTGAACAGTAGGGAGTAAATCTATGGAAATTTATCAGCTTGTGTTATTCCATTGAGACACAACTTCAAAATCTATGCAAAAGTTGAAAACTCACACCTATGGATTTCTGAACTGTGCAATACTTTCTAATCTAGATCTTTTGCTAGTTTTGATTTTAATGCATTAAAAAGTTCAATTTGTAACTACATAATGATGAAGGATCTGACTTCAAGAACTGAGAGAAACACTAAGTACTGTATAACATTAAGTTGGGTGCATTTTTTCAAGGGAAGATTAACTAAGCAATTCACTAATCGTAAGAAAATCTATCAATTGTTAGAATCTCACTAACCCTTCCCACAAAATTTAAGTGAAATATATGATGGCAAACTAAAAAAATTTTTTTTTGTAAAATATATATTAATTTGTAAAATTAGAGTAAAAACAAAATTTTCACTTTAATTAATTCAAATGCTGTCTTATTATAGTATGATTGTATTAGACACGCTGCAGACAAAATATTTTAACAAACAATTGAGTAGTTAAATTTTTTTTCCATGCTCCAAGCATTATGCTGGATTCAACCAGAGAAATATTCCTGTCTATAAGAAGTCATTATAGGTACTTTCTGACATTACAGTGTATATATAGATATAACCCTTGACTAGAAGCAACAAAATGTTTTGGCTGTGATAAAATACTCCCACCTAATGTACACAGATGAGAAATGCAAGAAAAAGCTACTGAGTACTTCTCGGACATATGTGTTCATCTAATGTTATTTTTTCCCCATTCTGCCTGGGGAATAGCAATTTCTTCTCACGACCAACTCAGGTGTTCCTAGTATTTGTCAGCACAGAATGGAGTTCCCAAGATGATTTTAACTACTTTTACTTAAATGATCCTAGTCAATTTCTCCCAATAGTGTGTACAGGATTTCAGGAGAAATGAACTTTTTCTTCAAGTTGCAAGTAAATCCCACTACTATGGAGATTCATGCTAGCTCATTCTTTTAGGCTATTAATCAAAATTATACAACCACCAATCTGACAAGAAGTGTCTCTGGGAAGTTTACAACAAAGATCTAAAATAATAAAATACGTTAAAATAATCATTATTTTAAAAGTTTTAAAAGCATATGGCACACATGACGTTAGACTAGCAAGGGACCCACCTCAAGATCTCACTGGTCCTGAGCCCCCCAAGCTTGAATGACAAAGCTAGGTCTTGAGGGACTTCTGGAAAGTATGTAAGAATGGAGCTGATCTCACTTCGGGAGGGAGGGAGGGGAGGAAGAGAATATTCAATAAGTCAGGCACCATGACAGAAGGCCTCAAAACCCAAAGCTATTCAGTAATTTCCAGGGTTCAATTGAAATCTGTTGCTCCAATTCACACCCTTACAGCCTCCAGACATCAGGGGAAGATGTTCATAGCATTGCTTAAGTCATTAGGGAAAGATATATATAATTGATAAATATATATGATCAGCATGCTAAAGATACCTCATTCTATGGGAATGGATGAGCTTACCCAGCAGCTTCATATAGGTACTGAATACGAACGGAGAGCGCACCTAACCATGTGGCACTCAATATACAATAATAGGGGCTATGGGTGGGATCTCCCTTCCCCAATCATCACCAACTGGAATTGACCTTGGAGAAACCAGTATGGTTTCTTCATGCTCAATCCTGCTCTTGATAGTGATCACCCAAAAGTGCAACCAATGTCATTTTCAATCCATACTCAGATCTGAATTCTGACTGAAAGGAATCCTGGTAATCCGCTTCAATAAGGTATTTGGAAGTTGTTGTGCAACCAACTTCTCAACCACTTTCATCAGAACATGGAAGTTATACTGGGTGAAAGTTGTCCGGTATTCTGGAGTCCAGCAATGGCTTCTTGAAGAGGGGATAAACCAAGCCCTCGTTTAGAATAGGACCCTCACACTCAAGGAAAAATTTTCCACAAGAATCCATTCATACAATCCCCCCCCCCCCCCTCAAGCTTTTTTAACAAGCCACCCCTTCAACAGCTTTTCTGAGTTTGTACATATACCTGTACACAGAGATAAAATACTTTTTCTCAAGATTATACTCCAGGCATCTGATAAAGTCGGCTGTGATCCAGAAAAGGTTAGCAGTCATAGAAGTGTTAGCTTTTCAAGTGCCGCAAGTGTTATTTCAGGAGAGGCACTGATCTAAGGAGCAGGCGGTTGAGTTTACAATCCCAAGGATACTGTCCATTTCCTCAGACCCAAGAGGTTGAAACCATTTCCAGATAATCAGGCTAGTCTTCTCCCCAGGCCTCACCTCCAGACCTGCAACAAGGCTGACATCCAACCCCAAGCAAATTCAAATGACTTTTGTCCAGATGCTGAAAAAAATTCCTTTGTATATCCTTGCAGGTGGTTCTCTGACCACCTGATACATAAGAAGGCACATGTCACCTGAAACAGGGTCAGCTAACCACAGATACAATAAGAGTGGTGGAGTAGATGCTGTAAGCTATGTTTGGTCAAGTTCACCTTTTGTGAGCACCAGCAATACTATAGATGTCTCTTCTTCAAATTCGTCAACTCTGTGAGTGGGAGAGATTACATGGATGTGATCCGATCTAAAGCTCAGCTTCACCCCATTCTAGGCAGTGACCAAGGCTTCAGATGGACTGTGCAGCAAGCCAACAGGAACAGCCCCCGATTCCCTCTGAAACTCATCCAGGTTCATCAGTCACTAGGGATGGATGAATCAAATGGATCAAGCCTCCCTGCAATGGATAGTGGTGCTAGAGAAGCCCATGGTCATTAGGGGTTGATTTGATCATGACAAGGGAGACTCCAAGAACTCCCCCTATTTCAGAACACATAACCACTGCTCAGATCCAGTATGAGAAGACCCTTATCCAATTCAGCTAATATTTTTCTTCCTGATATTTTCCGATCTACAACTTTAGACACTGGATCCTAACAACAAATAATTGTATACAATGTAAAGAATCAAAAGTATCACTGCATATGCTGAACTGTTTGAATTACCAATTAAATTAATTCAAATGGATTAATTAATAGTCAACAACCAACTGGTCAAGAAAAAAAAACCGAAGGCTGAGACTGACCACCACTTGTTAAAATTCATTTTAAAATTGACATTCTCTTGTATTTCTTTCATATGCCGAAACAACATAGCTACTGGAGAATGCATATTCAATCCAAGTTATCAATTTCAATCCAGAATCAACCAGTCAATAAATCCCCAAATGCATAATTGTGGGCATGAGAGAATATAGTTGCTGCTTGTCTCACATTCTTCATATGCATGAAGAATGCATCTTTCCACCCCTTCAACAGCTTTTCTGAGTTTGTACATATACCTGTACACAGAGATAAAATACTTTTTCTCAAGATTATACTCCAGGCATCTGATAAAGTCGGCTGTGATCCAGAAAAGGTTAGCAGTCATAGAAGTGTTAGCTTTTCAAGTGCCGCAAGTGTTATTTCTGTTGCATGAGATAAGTTATTCCATCAGAAACTGCATTATAAGTTTTCAAAAGTAATAGATGCATTAACATAATGCAGCAAACATAGGTGAACAAAGTCAGGGTCTTAAAGACAATTTCTGAGTCACTGCCACAAAATATAGGTGAAGTTCAATAATTGTTATACTAGAGTACTTCTCCAAGCTGTTCACCATTTGCTATTTTGACTCATAGCAGCTCTTCAGAGTTTCAGAGATCTTTCCCCTTATCCCTCCCCCCACTTTAGTTGAGAAGCCAGAGAATAAACTTGAGTTGTCTGCATGCAAATCAGGTATTCTATCCCTGAGTAAATTTAATAGCACCATTAAGGCTGTAAATGCAGACACCCTATAGCAGGGGTGTCAAACTCAAGAGCCATGGGGTGCTTAGATCTGGCCTGTGGGGCCGGCCAAACTAAAAAAACAAAAGAAGAAATCTTTTCCCTTTTGCATTTGAGCATGCAAGAAGGGACAGGAAAGGAGAAAGGGAAAGAGGAAAGACAAAGATAAAGAAGGAAAGGTGGGAAGAGAGCAAGGAAGGAAAGAGGGGAAGGAAGAAGAAAGGAGAATAAAGAGGGAAGGAAAAAGCAGAAAAGGAAGGAAGGAAGACTATAATGAGTGAGGGAGGGTCTCAGGGAAATCCTGCCTTAGCACTTGCCCAGCACAGGTGCCCCCAAAACAAGTCCCATGTCACACACCCCCAGCCATGGCCTCCCCACCCCTCCAAGGTCAAACACAATCCTGATGCGGCCCTCAATGAAATCGAGTATGACACGATTGAGTCGATCATGATTGATCGAGTATGGGCTATATTACTATATTTAGTAATATAGCCCAGACACCCTGCATCAGTATGCCTTCCAAAATAAATGGATTCAGACTGGCAGGCCTCTTATACTGTCACAACAGGAAAGTAAATGGTGGCATCCGCTTCAGATGATCATCTAGTGTGATCTGAATGATCAAGGGGATCAATAGTCTGACTCATGGAAAGGAGCTCCTAACATCCAGACACTGTGCCTGCTGTCTACTCATAACAAGTACAGTGATCCCTGTGGAAGTGGCTAACTGGATGGTCAGTTGGTTGTTCTGCTATTCTTTCATTAAAGGAGACATTCCTAGATATATTTTCTCCAGTGTCCTGTTTTTCCAGTAAAATGCACAAACAGGAGAGTTTGAAAATTAAATTAAAATATCACAAAATCTTTTGCAATCTCAGAGAATCAATTCAAATCATCTTACGCTGTCAAGTTTCAATAAATCATTTTAAATGCATAAAAGGAGCAATACTCGAATTGGTGAATGTTTCTGAGAACATTCACCTTGGGATTTTAGCCACTTAGTAGATGTCAGTTTAGTCCTATATATTTTATATATATGAAGACCTACATTGAAGCTCTGGCAGTCACAAAGAAAATACAGAAAGCTGCCTCACATTGAAATTAAGTTCACCATACCATACCATACCATACATCATACCATACCATACGACACACTACACCACACCACACACCATACTACACACCACATACCACACACACTACCGTATTTTGTTTCTCAGCTAAAAGTTGCACATGGCTATTATAGTTTTTACTTTCATTACCAAATATACAGAAAAAAGTACCAAAGTAAAAAAACAGTACAAAACTTAATTCTGTATAAATATGAAGTCTATTGAAACATCTTTACTTTCATTGTTGAATGATCCAGATAATATGTCCACTGAAAAGTAAATTATGCATTCTAGTGTACTTGATCCTAAAATCAAGACCTTGGCTGTTAAGTACTGTGTATCAATGGAGTCAGGTAAAGTCTGATATTTGGAAGATCACTTCTTTCTCTTTTTTTATTTTTTTGAGACCACCCATTTCACTTTCTGACGATGGTTGAAGAATAAAGATGCAATGTTCAATTATGAACTATGAATTATCTTCTTCCAGACCACATCAAGATGTTTATCATACCAACCTAACATGTTCCCCATTACACATTGGTCCAAACTGTGCTTTCAACTCTGATGGGAAAGACATTATTTATATTGTTCAGAGCATGATGGTATTCAGGCAGACACCACAAAATTAGTCCACTATGTATTGTGGCATACAAATCTTGAGATGTTTCTTGATATGCCAAAATATTACTAGTAAGTCTTTGTTCTAGGAACTTATTCCAATAGGTTTGGGTGTTCAATCCATGTAATCATCCAGTCTGGCTTCACACCCTGTGTGAATTCTCTTCGAAACCTTTAGGAAAAACAAAGTAAAATAATGAAGAGACAATTGCATAAGTCAAGCAACAAACCCTTTGTGAATGGCCTTAATATTACAAACACAAATGTAATATTAAAGTGGTGAACAAACATAATACTAAAAATAGATTTAAGACTTGGCTGCCAAATCTCTCAGATAAGAACTGAGGTAAATCAGATAAGTAATCTGATTTAAATTGACAAAGCAAGAAACATAGCAGAAGATTTCAAAAACATCTTAACAGTTGCATTCATGAACACTTTCATTAATAAATAAACATTAATGAAATCTGGAGGTTTATTCAAGTCATATCATTAGGTTGGAGGCATACAAAGAAACTGGATGCCCATATGCTCTTCCAGTAATTAATGTTGGAATCTTTTATGATGTTGACATACAAAAAGGCTGTGCGAATGGAGCAACTGATTATCTAAAGTACTTGTTTTCACTGTCAACATTCATAACTGATACTTTTTATTTATTGCATCCCTTAAAATAATAATTAAAAAAAAGCAGAGATCACTAGATTAAATGCAAACATCCAGTTGGAGCCAGAGAAAAGCTATAGCTGTGATGGTGAACCTATGGCACACGTGCCACAGGTGGCATGCGTAGCCATATCAGTGGGCACGCCAGCTCAGCTCTGGTGCGCATGCGTGTGCCGGCCAGCTGATTTTCGGGCCTTCTGGGCCCACCAGAAGTAAGGAAACAGGCTGTTTCTTGCCTCCGGAGGGCCTGTGGTGGTGTAGGGAAGGCCCATTTTTCTTTCTCACCTGGCTCCAGATCCTCTCTGTGCATTTGGGGAGGGTGAAAACAGGCTTTCCCACTCCTACAGAGGCTCTGGAGGCTGGAGACAGCAAAAAACGTCACTTCCTGCCCACCAGGAGTTGGGAAATGGGCCGTTTCAGGCCTCCGGAGGGCCTCCAAGGAAGTGGGAAAGCCTGTTTTCGCCCTCCCCAGATGCACAGAGAGGATCTGGAGCCAGGTGAGAAAGAAAAACGGGCCTACTGGGCCATTGCGTGCCAGGAGCGGAGTGGTTGCGTGCGCATGCACAGGGTGGGGCACATAGAATTATGGGTGTGGGCATGCACACGAACCTCCCCTGCCCCCCCTCCTGGCACACGATGGCAAAAAGGTTAGCCATCACTGAGCTATAGGAATGAACCAAAATGTTCCTGTCATTCTGACATTTCTTTAGAATACATTTACTGTACATTGTTCTTCAAGAACTATTCTCTGCTGGAGTGTCTATTACTTATTAGAACCACCTATCTCATTGGCTTTGGTTATTATTCTATGCAAAGTCCCTCATATTTTCAAAAATGTCTCCAAAACCATAAGAAAACATAATAACCTGAAACATTGATCTTAAAAGAAGGCAGATAAATCAATAAGTCATTAATACAAAGAAAAATACCAATTGCGATCACTACAAAAAATTGCAAGAGAATATTTTTAAATGATACAAGATTCTGAAGTTTTCGTGTTTTAACTATACTCAATAGAAAATTGTTCGGGAAAAATGGAGAGATGAGAGACTCCTATTCATTTTCATTTTTCAGTTCTTAGAACTGGAAATATACACAATCTTCTGCTTAAGAACCATTCTCTCTAAACATCTGCTTCTCATTTACAGCTAAGGAGAAAGGTATTCTTAACTGCCTTGTTAAAAGCCATCCTCATATTTGGATTTATGTGTGTGAATGCTGCTCTGGCTTCCATCACTCTTGAATAGCCATCCCAACCACATGTTCTGCAGATGTGTTGGACATTAATTCTCATAAATTATACAAGAAAGAGAATGTAAGAGAATCCCACACAGTATAATAAAGCCAGTATAGAGCTACAGTCCTCCAATATACACATTCATTTTTTCTCTAATACATGAATGACAAAATGTGGAGAAAATGGTTTGCAGTTGGAAATCTTATGTGGAAAAACCAGATACAAAGTGATTCATTTTTTCTTGAAAAGCATCTCAAGGACAAATGTCTATATTTGATCCACCAAAATGGTTTTTAGCCACTCATTCACTCCCCAAATTTGCTCCAAAGAGTCTTTGCTCCAGACTTTTGCAAATAGCTTTAAGGAGGAAACAGAAATCCTGGCTGCACAACCTCTCTTCTGGTGGTGGATGAAAACAGTCACACAAAACTGATTCTTGCAAGACTAACTTCTATTACTTTTATATTAAAAGGGAAAAATATTTTTGGACATTATTTTAAAAGCAGTAAAAGTACTAGAAATGTGGCAATGTATTTATTAATTAAAATATTGTTATGCTGCTGGCCAATCAAATATTCTGGGTGAACTACAAACAATATAAAAGTGGTCTCCCATAATCATTCCAATCAAAATTCTTCATTATACATTATCTTGTTACAGTATTAACTCTTCATTGTTCATTTTATAAACCAATCCCATCTCTTTAGATACCTCTTTTAGGCTAAAATAAACTTATTAGACAGAAAAAATTGTCCTGTCCATTTTCTCCTTTATAAACTGATTATAAACCTTTGCTTTCTGAAAGATCAACTTAAGCTATTATTGACTTCCTAGGACATTTTGTTCATACTGTACTGCCTGTGATCTTTATTCTCTGCAACACTGGCCTTCCAATAAATTCATTTTTTCTCTTGATTAGTCAGGCATATTGCTCAAGATGCAGCATCACTTATATTCTACGGAGCTAACCTTGTTTAAAGTACACTGAAGTTTCGCCATACCCAAAGAACAAAACCACAATCAGGTAGAAAAATCAATGACTGACTTACTCATAGTTTGCTAATAAAAGATGTCTTCTTTTAGGTGTGTTTTCACCGCTAAGCGCAATCTGGAACACTTTGGCTCCATCTGGAGTCTTATCAGGGATGTCAGCACTGCTCAGATACCAGAACGACATCAGGATACTAACAAACTTCCTGCCTGTTTACAGCGCAAGATAGATTTGGAAACAGAGAAAGACATTTTATAATACATGAAGAAAACATCTCTCTTTTTCTCTCTCTCTCTCTCTCACACACACACAGAGTGAAAAACTGAGCACAGCAATGCCCCCAAAGCCTCTTTCAGAGACAAAGCATGGATTGCCATATATTTGGTTCACGTATTAGGCTAATCCAAAATTTACTTGTCCAGAGTTTCCTAAATATGTAACAATTAACATACATAACAAACAGGCTGCAGACCAATAATATTATGGATTAACACAATGCACAAAACCAGCCAGAATTCTAGTGTAATTTTTTTGGGGGGGGGTATATGACTCTTCAACCATGACCCACTCATAGTTGCAGCCAACTTTCAGCTACCAGAGAACCTATTAACTGCTTCCACCTCTAACACAGGAGAGATGGTTCTCCTGTATTTTCCTTTCTCTTCCCAGCAAAAATCTAGGAAGTGGTATAGACACAAATCAATTGCTTTCTCCTACTAAGACTAACACAACATAATTCTATGTATGTTTGTAGATATCAAATGAGAAAATTCATGGCATGGGTATGAATTAGAGTTATTATTGTTTCTAATGTTTGCCATTCAAGTGATTAATTCAACTTAAAAATAAAATTATGAAAGTTGTTTTCCTGCTGGCCAACCTACAGGAGAAAATTAGCTCTGTGTACTTTTTTTTTTTTTTTTAAATACTGAGTCTGATTCATTGTACTACATCTCATACTGATTTCTTGGGAGTATAGTTGATGATCGAAGGTATAAAAGGCCTTTCTCACCAATCTCTGAGCATGTATTTAACTAGCAAACTGGATCTTCTTAAAGCGCCAAGCAAACTCATTGAGCTTCTCAATTGCATGTTGATATAAAGTTCATTCTATATATCAGGTTCCATTGTTTTAGAACAATATCTCAGGATCCCTTTACATTTTTAAAAATGATTGAGGACCCCAGGGAGTTTTGGTTTGTATGGGTTATGTCCATTATTAGTTACTAGTAGTAACTAAATAGTAGTGGAAATTAAAACTGAGAAATTAAAAAAGTTATTTGACTTCATGGGCCCTCTGAAAGGGTTTCAGGAACCTCCAGGGATTCCTAGATCACATTTTGAGAGCCATTAAAAAAATAATAACTATCCTTGATTTTACTTGGGTCCAAAAGATTGCTGGCAGAATGAAATAGACACAAAACCAGACACATGTCAAAGTAGCAAACAGGTGCTCAACATGAATACTGTAATTAAATGGATAGAAAAGCAATTTTAAGCCCTATTTAAAAAGACTGAGGGATGCTTTTAAGGTGTGTGAAATAGAATGAAGGCATACCACTGTCATCATAGTAAATGCCCACATCTCCTGTTGCTGTGAACATAATTTCATCCATCTCCGCAGCCAAGGCTTTTCTGTGGTTTTCAGACAATGAAGAGAGCTTCTCTCTTAACACCTGAATCATCTGGATTGGAAATGGAATTGTTAATGTTAGTGTGTACTAATTCCCTTACACCAACTCACTTAATATATAAGATAGTTATTGAAAACTATGCTGCTATTTCTCTCTGCTGAATTCTATGCTGAATTTCTCTCTTCAAAAGTGAAGTACTTTTTTAAACATAAATTATTTAAACATGCTTTAAATAATTATTAGATGAATCTGGTTATGGTTGATCTCCTTTGTGTGGATTCTGAAGCTCCAATTTAATGTAGAAACTAGTAATTTGGGAAGGGAGCATACAAGGGAGAAAACCTCTTTCAATGAATGGCTGTTGTAGACATTATTTACTGATGAGGGGAATAGTCTTCTATACAAGTAATATTCCACTTACAACTATTTGTTTAGTGACCGTTCTAAGTTACAATGGCACTGAAAAAAAATGAGTTATGACTGGTTTTCACACTTACACTGCAGCATCCCCATGAACATGTGATCAAAATTTGGACTCTTGGTAAGCAGCATGTATTTATGGCAGTTGCACTGCCCCCAGGATCATGCAATCACCTTTTAGCAAAGTCAATGGGGAAGCCACATTCACTTAACAACCATGCTACTAATTTAACAACTGCAGTGATTCATTTAACAACTGTGGCAAAAAAAGTGTGTAAAGTGGGACACAACTCACTTAAAAGCTGTCTTGCTTAGCAACAGAAACTCTAGGCACAACTGTAGTTGTAAATCAAGGATTACCTGTGTGCCCTTAAAGGCACCCTTATAAAACATTTAATAGTTCTATTAGACTTAGTCTTCCTTCTAAAAGCCGTTCAAAGCTGATGCGGTGGAAAACTGACTCCAGGTAAGCGTTCCACTACTGAGAGAAAGTCATGTCGACACCCTTTTGGAAGGTCTTGGATATTCATACCATCCCTTCTTTACTAAAAGTTATATTAAAACTATAGGCAGTTCTGTTTTGGGAAATGAAGTGGCATGAAAGTTGTAAAAGTAAATTAATTCAATCCTACTTCTAGAAATGACAGTGCAGCTGAAGTAGATAAACTATGAGAAAACCTAAATTAGAATAAAGAGAACAAGCAGTTATGGTGGTTAAATTACACTGAAGAGAAGACATAACTTGATTGTTGCCCTTTTAAGAAAATCAAACATAAATTGTCAGAGTTTCTAGGAATAAAAAGCTATCAGTTTAGATGCTATTTGCTTGTTCTTCTTTAGGAATAGAATATAAATTCAAATTGTTTCTTCCACTTTTAATTAACTTAAGGCAGTGGTCTCCCCTCTCACATGATCCAAAGACACAGAACTTCAATGCTTACAATTTTTAGCCAACATGGCCAAATTTATACTGCAAATATAGGAGCTGACACCTAACAAATCCACTATGTTGTGAAAAGCTTGCTGATGCTGTCCTCTGTAAAAAAAGAAATGTTCAGTTCAAGGAACAGTGAGGAGAATCTTGTTTTTCACATATGAGAAATATTAAATATTTTACCTCTTTTGATACAAGTTCTTCCAATACATCGTATTTACACTGAGAAATTAGCCTTGAAACAACAGTAAAGGCCTAGAAAACAGAGAAAAATGCTACTTTAATTAAGATTCCTACAATTAAGCAGAAGTTTGCAGCTCAACTATATTAACGGGCTTATAGTCGGGGTGGATTTGATTTAAATCAAGTCGATTTAAATTTAATAATGTAATATAAAAAGGCTTGATTTAAATCAACTCAATTTAAATAATTTTTAAAGAGCAACTGTCATCTCTGTCCTGCAGGGGCTCCTCCTCTGACCCACTGTTGAATCATCGACAGTCCCATTCACTTTAATGGGATGGCTGATGATGCGGCAGTGAGATAACAAGGAGAAGGATGTGGCAGACAGCAGGTAAGTGGATTCCCACTAACAGGCACTGCCATGATGGATCTGAAATGACAGGTGATCTTTAAATGTAAGGACTCATTCTTGCTGGTAGTTAGAATCTTTAATATTATTATTTGCAAACAAAATGAAGGTTTCCTATTATTTAGCTTGCAGAGCTTGGATTCACTGAATGAGTTTACCAAAAATGTAAATATTGCAGAATATTCAGCCTCATGCTACACAACTAAGCTCCATTTCATGCTGAATAAATTAAATTATTAATGTATCTTAAATAGAAAACTATCTTTAGATTTTTTTACTCCAAAGGCATTTTATTAAAATAAATTTGATAAAAATCAAAATAACCCTACTGAATTAAAAAAATCTGATTTAAATTTAAAAAATCCGATTTTTTTTTTAAAAAACCCGATTTTTATCCACCCTTATAGTGAAAACATTCCTTCTAGTCTTTCAACTGATGACATTCTCATTTTGAAATGCAGAATCCGATAAAGATGCAGGTTCTATAGACTAAGCATGCAATGCAGCGCTGTCTTGGTGCACATTTAAAAAGTAAACAGTTTGGGTTCATTTAATGCAAAATACAGAAGGGCAGGACCTTGTGATTTTATTGAGCTTAAAAACTGATGCAGTAGAAAAAGACGACGACCCACAGGCAGAGCAGGAGGACAAGAGCCACCTCATTTAAGCAGCCATAAACGAACCCCAAAGCTTCCTCGGAGGGGTGTTAAAAAGAAAGGGTGTCCTTCTTTTTAAAATATAACACCCCGAAATGCGGCGGGGCGGCTCAACCAACGACTCACGTGCTTCGCCCCTTGCATGAACTCCTGGACGCTGAAGTCGCGGTCGAAGTAGGTGCGGATGAGGAAGAAGTAGAGGCGAGTGCGGAGCCATCTCAAGGGGTTGGGGAACCCCAAGAAAAACGTCCGCTCTTCCGACCTGGGGCCGCCGTGGCCGCTGCTATAAAAGCGCGCGGGGGGCAGCGGCAGAAACGGGCATCGGCCAGAGAGAGGCAGGAGGCGCCCGACCCCTCCGCGCTGGGCGGCTGAGCCTCTCGGGGAGGCGGGGAGCCCCCGCAGCTGCCAGCACCAGCAGCGCCTGCAGAGGACTCCGCGGGTCAGCCCCATAACTCCCCGCCTCGGCCCTCCCGTCATTCCGCGGCGACGGAAGAGAAGCCGGGGGATCGGCAGGCGGCGAACAGGTTTCCCTCGCGGCGAAGGAGCGGCCTTTGCGCAGCCTCTCGGGCCTGCAGGAGGGCGGCGGGGGGGAGGGCGCCTCGCTCCGCCCTTGAGTTGTATAGCAGGGGACAGACTCTCCTCGCGGGCCCACCTCCCACCGGTGGTGTGGGCGCCTTCAGGGCACGGGGAGTCTGGCGGGGGAGGTCTATTGGTTTTGCGAGGAGGCCTCGTTGCCCAGCGGAGGGAAATCACCGCCGGACCCAATGGAGGAAGTGACCGAGCTGGGCATGGAGAGGCAGCGAGTCCCGCAGTACACCGGGGTTACCCGGGAACGTTTTTTGCAGGACGTCTATCCTCTGGTGAGTGAAACCTGGAGGCTCAAACGCCTTTTTTCCGTTTCTAAGTAACGTGGCATGATAAAGAAAGGCATGATAAAGAGAGCCAGCGTGGTGTAGTGGTGGAGGTGCTGGCCTAAAAAAACGGAGGTTGTGAGTTCTAAGCCGGTCTCTCTTAGCGCAGTTACGGGGAAAATAGGCAGGAGTAATTGGTATAAGTAAAAATTAAAAGGGATGAAATTTATTAATAAAAACCGTTCTATATATATAGTACTCAGATGGGTCCTTTGTTTTTTGGACTTCAGGGAAAAGAATACATTTCTAATTAATCCTGCGTTTAATCTAGTACTTGCTATGCTCTGTGTGGTTAGTGTTTACATCCTAAACTAGTACCAGGTGCACATAAAACAAGACATCTTTTCCTTCTCTAGATAAAATAGGAGATGGAGATAATTAATTAACCGTTTCTTTTTTAATTGGCATGTTTGGAATGTTGATTGTAGGCTAATTTTGGTAGCATGTTAAGTGCACTTTCAGAAAGTATCTGCCAAACTGGATGTGTTCAGATGTGTTCACAACATGCCAATTTACCACAAATGAATAAATATTCCCCAGCAGTCTTTAGCCTCCTAGAATTCTCATTGTGTTTTTCTGAGGGTTTTTTTTTTCTGATCACATAAGCATACTCCCAACATTCAATTGCAGCCAACCACACTTTTATTTGTAAAAAAAAAAAAAGCTGCTGTGTGTGGCACTCAAAACCATTGTTAGAAATTCTGATTATGTTTGATGTTGCTTTATTTTTCAACCTCGTACCTTCTAGAGATGTGCAGAATATTACAAATTTCAACCATGTTGAAGTGACCTGTTTTGAATTCAAAATATTCTGGGTCAAGCATGAATGTGTTTTGAATGTGAAACACTTTCAAACAATTTTCCAAAGTCTTGAAAAGCCCATTTTGCATTCAAAACAGCTTTTGACCCTCAAAGTGGGGTGTTTCAGATTTGAATCAGTTTGCATATCCCTAAAGTATTTCTATTTATTGTGTTTTTTTAAAAAAAATCCTTTTAAAAATCAAGGGGGCAGAGGGGGAGATATCCTTAGGCATATTGGCCCCAGTAATGCTTGTTGTATTCATTTCCTTAACGAATGCTTAGAAGATAATGTGTTGAATTTGAAAGATAGGCATGCAGCATTTTTTTGTAATTAGACCTACCATAGCAGGTGCTATTTAATTTTGGATTTAGCATACATTTCATTCCATCAACTTTGTCTCTTAATATACTAAAGTAATCTATATGCATTTTAAATAGTCAATTTGAGTTTTGCCTTTAATATTTAGATTTGCTGCTATGTTCTTCCGGTACAGTACTTTGTTTCCTGTCTCTTTCATAGATTTATTGAAAAACAATCTAATTAAAGTATTGACTTGAACCTGTAAGGTTCAGTGAACTTTGTCTAAATATATTATTTAGAAATCAGTTACAATTTGGGGGCCTTGCTTCAAAGTAGTTGTGCTAAGAATTAGGCTGCAAAACTCTGTAAAATGTAGATTAATCCAGTACTGTGTTGTAGGGTGTTCATTACTGCTTATCTTGCCATTAGAATAAAGATTAATATGATGTATTTCACTAAAGCATGCTCTGTTAGAAAAATCATAAATTAGAAATATAGATGTTCATTTTACTGATACACAATTTTCTAAGAAAATATATGCTTTTCTTAGATTTGGGTAGTCGGGAGTAGAACATAAGTCATAGCCTTTTGTTTGTTTGTTTGTTTCTAATAGCAAAATGGTGGCATGAAATACAATAACTTTTTTTTTTCATTCTTAGAGAAAGCCTGCAGTACTGAAAGGAATAGATCTGGGCCCTTGTGTGACCAAATGGACAATAGATTACCTTTGTCAAGCATCAGGAAAAAAAGAAGTAAAGGTTCATGTTTCCACTGTGCCACAGATGAACTTCCTTAGTAAGAACTTTGTGTATAGGTATTCTGTTCCAAGCTTTACTCTGTTTCTGTAAGTGGGAACTGGTAGCAACTCAGATGTTGCTGTTCTAGTTAGATGTAGACTTGTCACATGCCATGCTTAGCTCAAAACAAACGAGATGTGCCATTTGGGAAGGAAAACAAGCAGCTATAGAATTATTTGCATTAGTAAATCTTATGGCTCACTTAGCTTTTCCCGACCTAGATAGTAGAGATTTTTGTACTGACTTTATGTTGTCAATCCAGCTACACATTTTCATGATGGCTACAGTTGGTAGGCTTTGTGTGTAAGTGTAAGACCAAATTTTCAGATTCTCCCACTTGTCTCTTATACAAACTTGTTCTCATTAAAAAATGAAAGCAATTCTGCATACTACCACAAATGTGAACGAAAATCATAAGGTGATATTGTATCAAGTAGTTCGATGGAGCTAATGTCTGTATGAGAACATCCTTGGAAATGAAGCCATTATTTTCAACATGAAATGTATTTTACTGAGGTTACTCTGATAGTTTTCTGTCATGTGGAAGAGGGGATCCAGCTGTCTCTTCATATTGTTAGGAATTCTTTATGCAGTTTCTTCCAGGAATTTCCAGATATTAAACTGGGGAAGGGAAATCCTTCCCTACGGTAGCTCCTGATGCCCTTAGCATCACCACCTGAATTTTTGGGAAGATCCACCAATCTTCTAGAAAGTATTTTGGGAGCAGAGTAGTAGACAGGACTAGGAATTGTTGAGGATTCTATTCCTAATTCTGCTAGTGGACATGCTTCACTAGATTAATTAATTGACTAGAAGAATTGAATCCATTTATATGACAACCAACATAAATTTACCAGTAACTGATCTGCAGAAAATTTCAAGCTGATCCTAAGTCTGTTTCAGGAAGTTCATTTCATTGATCTCAGTGGCATTTAAATTCTAGTAAGGATATTAGGTATTAATGTTAAACAGCTGTTCTTAATTGTATCATTTTTCTTTGATCAAAGAAAATGTTTTGAGATAGTTATTGTTAAAAGTCAGTCCCATCTGTTTAATATTTTGATAATTTTGTTTTGAATTTCAGAACATTGCCTTTTGATGTATTTGTAAAGAGAGCAGCTGAAATCAAACATTTGGATTATTTTCTTTCTGAGGTAATATATTATCTGCTTGCTAATAGTTTAGTTCAGCTCATTTTTTTTTAGTGTAGGATTTTTAGAGTAGGTTCTTTTTCAGTTATCAAACTACATGGCACTTGATAAGTCAATTAAATATTAATGTGCCTGTTCATTGCAATTTATTTTCCATGTGTTTGTATTTTTAAGGATGAAAAGTATTATTTACGATCACTGGGAGATGATCCCCGAAAGGTGAGTACATTGTGTAAGATAAAAACTAATCCTAAAAATGTTAGTTTTCCTCTGAGCTATCCTAGATAATCCTTACATAAATTTTGTCCTTAGTTTGTGCTTTTTTACTATGTTTAAATGGAGAGAATGGAGAATCATAAAGCTGATAGAGAAAAGGATTGACTAGTGTTATCACTGTTATTTCCTGGGACAGATGAGGAAATACCGTATTTTCCGGCGTATAAGACGACTTTTTCACACATGAAAATCTTCTCAAAAGTCGGGGGTCGTCTTATACGCCGGTTGTAGTTCTCCTGTAACCAGGCAGACCAGCCCGAAAGGCTCTGACAAGCCTTAAATGGCTCTGGCGATCCCAGCTCTGACAATCCCAGCTGAGTTCCCTGCAACTCAGCTGGGATCGCCAGAAACCACGTAAAAGGAAAAAAGTTTTTTCCCTTTTACTCTGGCGATCCCAGCTCTGACGATCCCAGCTGAGTTCCCTGCAACTCAGCTGGGATCGCCAGAACCATGGCTCTGACGGTCCCAGTTCTGACGGTCGATCCCATCCCAGCTGAGTTCCCTGCAACTCCGCTGGGATGGCCAAAGCCATGTAAAAGAGAAAAAGTTTTCCCCCTCCAGCTTGCTTACCTCAGCTGCTAGTCGCAACGCTTGCCTTGCTTTGCTTGCCTGAATCTATTCAGGCAAGCAAGCAACTCCCTGCCTGCAATCAAGCAAGGAGTTAGTTGTGGACTTCAACTCCCAGAATTCCTTAGCCAGCAAACCAAAGCTGGCTGAGGAATTCTGGGAGTTGAAGTCTACAAGTCTTAAAGTTGCCAAGGTTGGAGACCCCTGTTCTATTGGGTAAGATTTTTTCCCCTTTGGGAGCTTTAAAAAAAATAGTCAATTGGGGTTTTTTTTAGTTGTTCTTTTTTAGACCTAGCCATTTAAAGTTTAGGAAGTTTTAAATTTAGCTTTCATATAAAAATAAAAATAAAATAAAATAAAACAATATTTGTGCAGCTTTCTGAGATTTAGTGTGTTTCTGTAGTGTTTCACTCCAACTACACAAACACACAAAATCTCACAAAGCTGTATGTGGAATTTTGTGTGTGTAAAGAGTGAAAGTTGATTTTTTGGACTTTTTGTGGCTGTGTGAGGTTCCTGCTTGTTGCAGGGGCCATTTTGGGTCTAGCACAGCTGCTTTTACATTGTGGGTGAGCCAGTTGTGTTGTGTTGTGTGTGTTTAGAGTGTGAAAGTTTTTTGGGAGGGCTTTTTGTGGCTGTGTGAGGTTCCTGCTTGTTACAGGGGCCATTTTGGGTCTAGCACAGCTGCTTTTACGTTGTAGGTGAGCCAGTTGATGTTTTTTAATTTTTATTTGGTGTGCATTGGAAGAGGGGCAGTCTTATATGGCGAGTATAGCCCAAACCCTATATTTTA